GAGTTGGGGATGGAACTGCCGATCGATCCTCTTATGGGATGTCCTGCGGGGGGGGGGCAAGGCCAAGCTTGCCTCCTGCTTGCCCCTGGCCACGCTGCTGGGGGCGGGTTCTGAGAGGAGGCCGAACCAGCCCCGTCACAGGGACCCCCGTATCCAGCTGCCGCACCGTTTGACCAGACCATGGCTTTGGGAACCAGGTATGTGGCGGGGGGAGGACAACCCAACTTGTGGGTTGTGAGTTGGGGAAGGAGGTGAAGCCACTCCACGGAAAAAATGCTTTTCAGCACCACTTCGTTCCTCCCAGGCGGTTGTTGTGTTGCGTCCCTCAGGAAGGATTCTGGCAAACGCCCCCAGAGGTGGTTGGGTATTTAGCCTTGAACCCTAAAGCCGGAGAGTTGGAAGGGCTGCTTGAGGACGCTCAGATCAACCCTCTGCTCAGTGCCGCAGCCCAGATTTAAGCGGTCCGGCCGGGGAGCTGTCCAGCACTTCTCCGGTCGCTGGTTCCCCGTCCAACGGCTTACTGTTGGCAGTGTTTCCCGTCGTTCGGTCTGAGCCAGCCTTCCTGTGGCTTTAACCCCGTGTCCCAAGTCCTGCGCTCCAGTCGGAGGGGACAGGCCTTGGCCTGTGCCCGGGTGTCTGGAGAGAGCGCCTTTCCTCAAGGCCAGCCGCCCAGCTTCGTCGCTCTCTGCTCCTAGGACTGTGTTTCTAGCCCACTGCCTTTCTGTCAGCCCATTTCTCTGCATCCTGCTTAATGATTACTTCCTGTAATTTGGAAATCGCTCTATCATTGATGTAACCTAAAATTGCCTTTGCCTTTTTTTGCAGCCACATCACGCTGCTGGCTCATTTTAGCTTGCAATCAACTCCCATTCAGAGATCTGTTTGCAATTATTATTCCCAAGCCAGGAGTCCCCATCCAGTACTTGGCTATTGGATTTCTTTCTCCTCAGTCAAGAACGCTGCATTTGTCTGTTAAATTTTATTATTTGTAGCCCAGTTTTGGTTGTTGATGGTCTCCCCACTTGCGCCACCTCAGGGCTGCTCCCGGCTGTTGATCGCAGAAGAGCTTTGCAGAGAAGGATATTCAGGCAAAGGTCGAGGTTGTGATTTGGTTTTATTGCTTGCTCTCTCAAGCACTATTTGGTGGTTCTAGATCAAACAAATACTTTCCCTGGCTTCTTTCCACAATCCAATGGCAGGTGGGCTTGGCTTGCACACCATCCCAGTTGTGTTCTCTAAGTAACGCATGGGAAAACTGTATTTCCTCAATACATAATTTTTTACACTGCACAAGGAAACGGATCGGTGAGTGGCTGTGCCTTGACACCAAGGCCTTTGCAACTAGAGAACGGGAGGAGAGCAGAAGATGAATGCTGGAGTTTCACGTGGGATTGCACGTGCGTGTCTCACAGATCCTTCTCAGCCAACTAACTCCTTCCTCAGTACCTTTCCCTAAAGAAAAGCCAACAGCCCGACTGCTAGACCGCTCTGCAGGGTTGCTGTAACCTCACTGATTTAGCCATAACCTCCAACAAAATGAGCATAACAACACCAGGGTTCCTCGCAGTGTATAATGCTCCTGCTTGTTGCATCGGGCTTCTCAGAAATCAGGTGCTTTATCTGCAGGCACCAGCGAATTCAACAGAAGAGAAACGCTCTCCGACATCCAGGGAGATTGCACAGGACTCTCGGCCGGAGGCTCACGGACAAGAGCTGCAGGATTTCCTGGCCGCTCACGGCTCATCAAGGCTCCAGCCCCCTCACCGGCTGAGGCTCTCTCTGGCAACCGGGATGGCTGTGGCCTGCGAGGAAGACGCCATGAGAACAACTGGTGGCCACCAACACGAAGAAGCTGCTCCTTGTACCCTCTGGAGTTTGATTCCGCCTCTCCCTGGTTTCCTGGACTTTGCCTTGCACTTTCCAGCCTTGGAGCTGAGCGACCGTCAGTTTGCTTATCGATCGATGGATCTACGCAGTTAACAGGTCCGGCCAGCCTCTCACAAGCAACTCAGAAAGAACAACAAAAGACTCAAAAGGAATTGGATCGTAAAAGATCGCAGAACCCGGAGCTCTTCCGCTGAAGCCCTCCAGCCATGGAAACCATGATCCTGGCCTGCTCCAAAGACCTCCTGAGCCAGTGCCTGGAGGGAAGCCAGTTCCTGACAGCTTTGCAAAAGGCGGGCGGGGTCAAAGCCCCTGCCTCTGGGGAGGGATGCTGTGCCACAGGGCCAGGGGAGTGGCAGGGGGCCCGTCTCCTGCCTCCCCGAGGCAGTGCTGAGTATGCAGGACAGCCCCGCCCGGCCAGCTGTGCTGCACGGAGAGAGGGGGTCCTGCTAGCCCCCAGGCCCAGCTGACGGAGCCAGGAGCTCGTGTCCACCCAAACCCCTACATCTGCGCCACACGCGGAACTCGCTTCCCAGGACAGGAGGGGGGCGGCTCCCCATGCTGGCCTTTCGGGAGGCTTGGACACCTCTCTTGCAGTTGCTCGTAGTCCTTTTTGCCAAAATGAGTATTTAATTCTGTCTTAATATAAGTTTTTACAATGTTTGCATACATATTAGAATTTTGGCATTTTGTATACCATCTTGGGGCATCAGTGATGGTGGCTTAAAAGTCGGACCGAGTCAAAGAGTAACAAAGTCCCAGATCCTGAGGATGCCCACCCAAAAGTTCTCAAAGGACTCAAATGGCTGATGTTCCAGAAGAACACACACCCTTCCCCTGGAGGGTAGCCAGAGCTCCCATTAATTGCAGGGTTCAGCCTAACCTCAGTACTGGGGGAGCTCAGGAGGGCACTGCTATTGAACACAGGCCCCAGAGGATCAAACTACGGAAGAACATCTAGATGGACCCCACAAAGGGAAATTCAGCCTCACCTCTGAGCTTTCTGGGAGGGTCGGCAGGGCATCCTTCCCACGTCACGCAGAAGCCTTTGGCAGGGTCACTCAGGGGGGGGAAGTCAGTGTCCCTGCGGGACTGCTGCTTTCGAACTCACTCCTCGTTTAAGTAGAAACTGATGCACGCTGGGCAAAAGCCCTTAACCTCACGCACACGTTCGATGGGGTCGGAGCCGTCTGTAGCTCAAAAGTCTCGGGGTGAACGTGGCCACCTCGGCAAAGATGTCGGCCTTGTCGCGGCAGCCGTGGAAAGGGAGGGCAGAGGCCGTGCCAGGGTCATCAGGAAAGGGGCAGGAATGCAGCCGCCAGCACGGGGTGCCCTTACAGAAATCCGTGGAACGCCCACAGGACCCGGAGCGCCAGGTGCGGTTCTGGCCGCCAAGCTGGACAAGGGATATCGAGGACCAGGGAGGGCGTGGAAGGGGGCAGGCAAGAGGATCAGGGGCTCCAACACCGTCCCTGCGAGAAAACGCCTTTTCGCTCTTTCACGGAGCAAGGGGGGCAGGGAGGGGGCACGTTCAAGAAGCTTAAACCTTGCCTGGCCCGGAGAAAGAGCGAGCGGAAGGTTTTCTCCCTCTCTCCGAACACGAAGACAGCCCCCCCCCCCCCCCATGAGGCGGATCGCAAGGAGAGTTGAACGGCCAGAAGGAAGCACTCTGAACTCCACAGCGCACAAGGAACCGGTGGGATTCACTCCCAGAAGAAGTGTTAGTAGATGGCCACTAAGTGATACATTTATGATCCAAAGCTGTCAGTCCTGGACTCAGCATTAGCTCTGGGCTGCAGGCACCAGCAGGTGCATGCTGTAGCAGTGAGTTCCTCTGACTACGCTGCTGTTGATGTACCGTGGAAAAATTTACCTTATCCCATAGTAGACGGTTCTATAAAAGCACCTGAAATTCTGCAGTGCAGTTTCTTCTCGCTGTGAGGCTCCTGTTCTGCAATCGAATGATTAACCACCTTCAGCAAATTTTCTCCCCTCAGACCACCAGAAAAAATCCATAATGAATTAAAAAATGCTGCTTTTTTTCTCCCTGCTCCTCCCTGGAGCTTCAAGGGAAATAACTCATGGGGGATCTTGCTGCCCCCTTCACTGGGGAATTGAGCTTTTGCAGGAAGGCCCACTGTCCCCGTCAAGTGGCATAAAGGGATGGTCTTTGCAGAAGGAAGGCCTCCCCCCGCAGGGACTTGGGAGATGGGGGCGAGTTGGAGATGGCGCAGGATGGAGCTTTTTCCGCCCTCCCCCTCTCCCCCCAGCCTGATCAGCAATACCCAAGGAAGAGAGAGGGTGGCAGACAGGCAGAGGAACGCAGGTCCTCCTTTGTTTGAAGGGCCAGATCTCCGGAAAGCCTCCTTTTGACCTTGGCAGGGTCATGTCGCTTTCTTGGAACCTGTGGAAATGGCCTGCTGTCACCCCCTTTGGGGGTGTTTTTTCAGTCTCCCACCCTGGTGCTTCCTGGTGCTCTCATCCAGAGATGACCTTGCGTCGTTTTGTCAAGCTCAGCCACCTTCTGCACCGAGGCCACAAACAGCTGCATTTTACTTTCGGGTGGCTGCATATCCTGAGAATGTGGGGTTGACTGGAGAGGGACTGATGCAGCAATCCGTCCGCCGTGCAGCCTCTTGGAAGGCGTTGGCTGCCTTCTGCCTGGGCGCAAAGGTGAGGAGCGATGGACGGGCCCCCCGGATGCTTCCTGGGAACTGTCCTCCTCCTGCCCCGCCTGGGAGTGAACGACCCAGCCTGACCCAGCCCTGAAGACCCTGCAAGAAACTGGGCGGTGTTCGCTTGGCTCCTCCCTGTCCAAGGATGCGGCCCAGGAGAAGCAGAGGGCCTTTGAGGGGACGTGGACGCGTCACCTTAGAGTCCAAGACGGGACAGAAAGGTGAAGGGATGTATGTATTTGTGGCATTTACATCTCAGTGGCTGGGTCCAGACTCAGTTCAGAGCATCGCTGCACACGTACCCAAGGTTTCAGGAGATCCCGTTGCAGCCGGCTAAGAGAACCAGCAGTAGGCAGGACGCCATGGACCAAAGCCTTCCACTCGAAGCAGCACAGGAGGGTTAGGAAAAGGACAGGGAGGCAAGGAGTGCTTTCCAGCGAGCCGAGATTCAAAGGGGACACGCCACGTCGGGAATGGCAGGCGGAGATGCTGCAAAGCCCAGCAGTAGCTGACGTGTGCAGAAGAACTGGGCAGCTGTGGGGCCGCTGGCAGGAGAGAAGCCAGAGCCTCTCAGGAGCCAGAATCCTCCCAGATTCCAAAGGGGAATCAGGTTCAAAGCGGGACAATTGACAAAAGGAGGGAACAGCAACTCAAGGTAAGTGAAGAAAAAGCTTTTACATCCAAAGGTCCCTTTCAGAAAAATGGCCTTTATGCTTAATTCCAACTCTGTCATTCTATGGAGATTCAGAAGGATTTGTGAAGCTGGAAGAAAAGGGCAGAAATCAGCAAGATGAAACCGATGCTGATAGGAATAAAGCAAGGCCCAGGGGTAGGATGGGTGAAGAATCACAGCCGGCAGCAGGGCGTGCAAAGAGGTGTCTTGGTGGGTCGCAAGCTGAATGTGAGCCATCAGCATGATGCGGCTGCAAAAAAGGCAGATGCAATCTCCTGGTCTGGGAGAAAAACCTCACAGGCAGCGGTGGGAGTCACTGGGTATGTTCAGCCTGGAGAAGAGACAGCTCTGGTGAGACAAGGATCTGAGGGCAGAGCTGTTCAGAGCTGCCCTAGAGGATGGGGCAAGAAACACGGTTAAAGATTCCAGTTGGATTTTGGAAAAGTTGTGCAGGGGCGGAGCCGGCTTCCTTGGGAGGCGGGGGGCTTCCCCTCGCTGGAGGCTTTAACCAGAGGCTGGAGGGCTTCTGCCAGGGATGCTGTGGTGGTGGGCGGAGGGCTGGGCGGGATTGCCTCAAGCCCCCTCCGCACCCTTCCATTTGATTTCTCCACCCTCCCTCCCCCTCTCCCAACTGCTTTAGGGATCCTTTGCCTGAAGGGCAGGGTGAAGGGGCAGATGTAAGGAAGTAGGTCGGGGCAAAATCCGGAGGAGGAGGGCTGCCTGCCAAGGGAGCAGAGCGCCTCAGGCGATGGGACTGGAGGCTGTCTCTTCTCAGGGATGATGTCTTTACAGGAGGGAGCCCAGGGGGTCCGAGGGAGGGGTACTGGTGCGCTCCAGGCTTCTAGGACGGGAAGAGAAATTAACTCCATGGCTCAGTGGCGCCCTTGCCTGTACCAGTTTCCCTCCATCACGTCTCTTTTCCTTGCTCCCTCCTCTTGTAAAAAAGCAAAATGCCTTAGACTTTGTGCTAAGAGGTCTGCTCTGCTGGAGCCCTTCCACGTGTGGTTGTTCTTCACGCCGAGAAGAACAAATGGCCTGTGTTGGCTGGGCCTTCTTGCTGCACTTGTCCCAGCGGGAGGGGGGCTCTTGGTCCATCACCCGTTTCACAGGGAGTTGCTGCATTCCTGAAAGACAGAGATGATCTCCCCCCTCTGGATGCCCCCAATGGGCAGTCTGCTGCCCCTGGGGCTAATATTTATGGACTAGATTTCTCTGCCCCCACCCCCGGGGGGGCTCCATCAGTGAATGCTGGGCTGACCAGCACCCTGTTCCCTCACCCAGTCCAGGGCTGGAGACGCAGGTTGGCCTCGAAGCCAAAATCAAGGACCCCCAGCCCAGACCTTACGGTGCATGGAGCTTGGGGGCCCCTGGGCTGGACCTCCAGACTGGTGGGGGGCCCAGACCCCAGTTGCCATGTGTGAGTTTGATCATTCTTTCAGCAATGGGGCGTTTCTTGTTCTTGTCCCTCAAATGCTTTGTCATCAAAACTGCAGAAGCTGATTCTGCAGCCCCGATGATGCTGAGATTTCAGTGAAACTGTACCTGTCCAGAGTCCTCCTGGCTGGTACAGTTTTTCTGGTTGATTTATTTGCTATAAACATGTCAGAACAGAGGTCGAGTTTGGGAGAAGGGAAATGATGTGGATCTGAGAGCCCCAGACTTGCAAGGGGTGTGATTTGGTGTCCTGCGTTCTGGAACGGGCGGGAACTGGTTCTAACTTGCATCTGTGTGGCAGCCTTGGCTCTCGCTCTCTCTCTCTCTCACACACACACACACGCACACCCCACCCCCCAGCTCACACGCACCATCTTCTCAGGGCTTTGTATGCCCAGCTTCTTCCAGCTTTCTTCAGAGGACTGGGTTTCTGGTCCCCCGACAGGCCCTGGAAGTGGAAGGAGCCTTCAAAGCGTTTGCATCTGCACAGCAAATCGTCCTCAGCAGACTCGCTGCAGGATCTAGATTAAGCGTGGGTTGGATGGCTGTCAAGCCCCCAGGGAAAAGAAGCTCCACATGGCCACACCACTGGTGGCGACAGAGTGGCCTTTCTGCCTCATTTGAGGCCTGAGAATTGGTGTCAAAAGCCCTTCTCCTTGGCCCTGTTTTTTCAAAGCAGGGAAATTCTCTTTCCCTGAAATCAGTGGGTGGCCTCTGCCTGCCTGGACTGACGGCCCTTGTTCTCTCTCCTCCTCCCTGCCCCCCCGCAGGTGGGTAGCTGCTGACCCCTTCCCGCCAGCCCATCCAAGATGCCGGAGCAAAGCAACGACTACCGCGTGGTGGTCTTCGGGGCCGGAGGCGTGGGCAAGAGCTCGCTGGTGCTGCGCTTCGTCAAGGGCACCTTCCGCGACACCTACATCCCCACCATCGAGGACACCTATCGGCAGGTGATCAGCTGCGACAAGAGCGTCTGCACACTGCAGATCACCGACACGACCGGCAGCCACCAGTTCCCGGCCATGCAGCGCCTCTCCATCTCCAAGGGCCACGCCTTCATCCTGGTCTTCTCTGTCACCAGCAAACAGTCACTGGAAGAGCTGAAGCCCATCTACCAGCAGATCGTGCAGATCAAGGGCAGCGTGGAGACCTTCCCCGTCATGCTGGTTGGCAACAAGTGCGACGAGACGCAGCGGGAGGTGGAGACCAGGGAGGGGGAGGCCGTGGCCCAGGAATGGCGGTGCGCCTTCATGGAGACCTCGGCCAAGATGAACTACAACGTCAAGGAGCTCTTCCAGGAGCTGCTCAGCCTGGAGAAGCGCCGCAGCATGAGCCTCAGCATCGACGGCAAGCGGTCCAGCAAGCAGAAGCGGACAGAGAAAATCAAGGGCAAGTGCAGCCTGATGTGAGTGGCCGGGAGGCGGCAGCCCCCCCCCCGCCCCTCAAACATTCCTGCTGG